CTTCCCTCCACATTAAGAATGAGGCGTTTAGAGCATCTGGCTGCGATACATTTCCACGTGACGATTCGCCACCTCGTTGAGCGATCACGTGTTTCGTGTGCTGTCCGTCCGCCGCACCTCCGATGAGCACTGTTGGCTACGTACGGCGCGAAAGAAGTTCAACATACGCATATACATCATTTGTGGCCGGGCCGCTTCTGTAAATGTACGCTACCTGGTAAACAACAATCATCATAACACGTAGGCTTTCGCCTACGTGTCAGTAAAAAAGTGTCACGTTGACAAAAGACAAATAGTTCACTGCTTTAGCCCACGGCAATTCGCCAGAATTGCCCGATGATGCTGGATGCAATTACCAGCGAAACGTCGTACTCAAATTGTAAATGTTGTGGTTTCACGCTTCAACACACCGGTGGGCTAAAGCAGTGCACTATTTGTCTTTTGTCAACGTGACACTTTTTTACTGATTGGCCGTGTCGGGTGGTGGAGGGTTACGACACATTTATAAATAACGCGATCTAAACCCAAAAACGTTGATTATGAAAAACAATCATCATCATCAGCAGCAGCGGCCATTGCCTCTTCACTGCTAGACGAAGACCTCTTCCCCGTGCCATCGCCATCCCCACGGTTCATCGCTGACCGCTACCAATCCGTCTTCTCGCTCTTGCGAATTGACGCGATGCTCGTCCCTCTCGGACCCTCTGTTCTACCTTCATACCGGCTATAAATAAAGGCAATGCTTATTTATATCCAGTAGCAGAGTGCCTCGCGGCAATTTTGGTCCAAAAATAAATCCACGTTCCGCTGGAAACGTCGATACACTTTGCTCTCTTATACAAAAGACATTCCCGTTCTATTTTTTTACATATACAATTATATATTCTACAATATATATCTTTTTTTTTATTTCACGTGTTATTTATTGTAGGAGATCGCTGAAGCAGCAACTGTTCCATTTATATTAATGCACCGTGTATATTCTGGTTTGTGAAATGCTCGCCACGAGCAGCAGCAGCAGCAGTGATGATACCTGCTGTTGCGAGGCGTTCAAGTGACATCAATTGCACCAACATTCCACGTGGGTCCTCTCCCGCTTCATCACATTTTTAAAGCGCCGCGTACGAGGGATTACCGCATTCTCCGTGTTAAAAGCCCCATCCGGATAAGTAAGGGGCACCCGGGACGTGTTGTGCCCGGTGTTCAACATTCGTAAAAGAAAAGAGTGGTATTTTGATCGGATGGACCATTAAACTGGTGGCTCATATATTGTTTACGGCCAAAAGCCAGAAGTGGAAATTCCACATTCACATGCCGGGGGAGAGTATCTTCCATAGTGTTGTTGACATCCTCACAAAATGATACTCATTAAATGCCAATAAAGTTATACAAATCGGGGAGGCGGGGAGAGTTAAGGTATAATCTGGAGAATACCGGTCCGAGTCTCAATATAAAGTGAAGTTTGTTGCGGGATAGTTTATTTTCTTACTTCACAAAAGCGCCGCATTCCTTTGATCATGCGCTATTAATGACGCCTCGTACATAAAAGTCAAAGTGATAAAAAAATATAAAAAAATAGACGTCAATTTATGCGCCATGCATTCGTAAACTAAACGGCCATTCTTCTTCTTCCTTCAACTCTGTCCACGTGTTACCGCGTGACCTTATCAAATCTGGATTTATAGCAGGGGTGGATGCTGGGTATAGTTGGGAGGCGATTGCACACGTGGGTTATTTGATAACTGCACATATAACATAATAATATATAATCACAAGCAGGGTTTCATTTCCCATGGAATACTTTCAGGACCCCATCCCCCGCCCCAGCTACTGACTTCCAAATTACTGAACGGGGTGGGAGTGGGGGCAATTTTCCACGGGCAGCTCCGGCATAAATTAAGCCCCGATCAATGAACGATATGCGGGCAATGTTGATGTCCACGACGACGATATTGCAAGCAGGCAGGCACATTTATATCAGGCATGGTGATGCTATGATATGGGCTCATTGTGCTTTTACAGAACAGACAGGACAAACGCCTTTCTAATAAAACGTAAATCAACAGCCTTTAACCGACACATTGGTAGCGAAACCTCCGTACGCCGTGTTCGTGATGGCTTGATCATACTGGACCATCCTGGACCATACTGGACCATGCTGGACCATGCTGGACTATGCTGGACCATATTTCTTCACATCGGTCAGAATCTTGGCCAAGATTCAGACTCGGGTGACCGGATTCAGAGAGCAGTGCCACCAATTGCTGCGCCTGATTAGTTTTCGATCCTCCCGGATGGCTGCCCACCAGGTCTTGCCAGATGTTTTAGACGTGGGGTGTCGAGGTGTGGTCAGGAGGAGATAGCGGTGTCATCCCCTCGTACACAGCGTGGTTAGATTCCCCCACCTCCGTATTATTGTTACTACAATTGTTTCACCAGGAACGCCTCACTGAATCTAAACTCTTATTTCTAAACTAAACTATACTTTTTTTTTACCAGGTCAGGTCCACTGAGCTATGCAGCTAATTTTCAGAAGCGACCTGGCCATTAACGATAGCTCAACGAAATGGCTTATCACGTGAACATTTATAGCAGCCAAATACTCCTACTAAGTTTTCGCAGTCGGGAGGCGAAGCTAAAAGTATAATCCCAATTCACGAATTTATTGGGATATTTGACCAATACCAATTACAATGAGGTTAATTTTTATATATGTAGACGAAAATAATTAGCTATGGGAAGAAATCTGAGCACGCGGAAGGCATCTATGCAGACAAACAGGGCCTTGAACCCACGCCCACCACATGGAAGCCTCTGAGGCTCTAACCCCGTTGAGCTACGCAGGCTCCCTCTCCTCCGTGAAACCACAAACTCTCATCCCGAATGGAATTGGCCAAACACCTCCCCAATGCAGCAGCCTAGCCGACAAAGAGTATTGAGACTCGGCTAGGCCTTGTTAGGACAGAGAGTTGGTATGATCGCGGTTCACAGGAACCGATTTGCCATCACATTGTTTTTTTATTTTACTATTTTTTATTTTACCAGGTAAGGCCCACTGAGCTATATAGCTCTTTTTCAGAAGCGGACCTGGCTATTACAAATGGTAGCACAACGAAGTGGCTTGTATTACGTGGGAATTCAAAGCAACAGCCAAATACTCTAAAGACACTATTCTAAATGTGGAGGTAAAAACCGGATGACCGGGACAAAAATCAACGCTACCGCGGGGAGAATTTGCAAACTCCAAATTTACAGGCGTCAGGATCGGGATCGAACCCACGACCTCCTGTATACCAGGCGAGGGAGATAACATCACGTACCCAGAAACAAATCCGACTCCCACACCACCTCCCCTGGGCATTCGTGATTAAGATTAACACATAACCATTAGCGCCAGGTTATCCGAATTAAATCAGGCTCATTATGCGGCGGTGATGGAGCGGTGGCGGAGTGGTTAGCACATCGCTGTCACGAATTCGACGACCTCAGTTCGATTTTCGATCAAGAAATTTTAAATCAACCCGCACTGACCAGCGCGGTGAAGTATGGTGAGCGGAATCTTATAACCGACACGCCGAGGGGGTAAACGCACATACAGCAACGAATTGACGATCGGGCTATGCGTGTTGCGCTATTGAGGAGCATTCTGTGTAATAATACATCGACCCACGCCCCAGACCGGCCCACTTGTTTCAGTGTATTCGGGATTGCGTTTGCGCTGGCAGTACCCATCGTCTAGTCTCGAGGTAGTCACCTCACCACCAATACTCGGTAACCCTACGAGTGTTTGTTGAATACGCCTGACACTGCCGATGAGACTCGGCCGATCGAAACCGCCCCGGAGTGAGTTCGCTTGCTGAGCCCAATTGAGCCGAGAAACATCAGTCGACAAGACCGCTAGGCCAACTGAGTGTCAAACGAGGATTAAAAAAACAAATCCCAATTATATTATACGGAGAGATTAATAATGCGGGCTGATTTAATTTATATCGGATTGGCCACGCGCGCAAAGATTACACGGTTATGCAGTTGCAGGCGGCGCTTGCATATCAGCAGTTGGTGGGTGGGTACGCTCTCTCTCGAGGTGTGTGACTTTCTCGAGGAAATAGCTACAGCGCTTCTGGGAGCAAACACGTGGAAGGTTCCGCCTGGTGATTGCGGGCTGATGCGTGGCGGCTTCCTCGGCTTCTTTTTTCTCGCACTGATATCGACACGAGAGGGGACGGGCGAGGGAGAGGCGCGATCTTTGGATCGAGAGAGGGCTTCGGTTTTTCGCCCGTGTGCCCGCCCAACAGAGATGCGTGCGCCAGCGAGGGAGAGAGGGAGGGACGGGGGGAGCGATTTTGATCGATGTCATTAATCGGAATACGGTAAATCCTAATTCAATCGGAGTTGCTCGCGAATGAAAAATATCGCCTGCGGAGTTCACGGTCGCGTCAACGTTACGAGCCCCGTCCCTCGGGGTGTCGGCGAGTACAACAATTAATACGCAGACAAATATCCCCTGCAAAGCCTTGGCACACTTTCTAGGGCAAGTGCTGTTGACAAGAACCGACGAAGGCCGGCACGGCGCAACGATGTTTACACCCCACAGCAGCCACTCACTTGAGGCTGAGATCGGTTCGGACAATCGTCGCTGGCGTTGTCCGTGAGCTGGAATCGAACTCGGGTGACCGGGTGGCGCAGCGCAGCGCGCTAACCGCTGCGCACACCGCTCCCCACCAATCACAACACGCGCTTGCCAAAGCCCAGTGGGCGATATGATCAAGTCAGCTATGTTGTTATGATGATGATGATGGTGGCGATGGTGACAGGTGTGTCGACGGCGAGGGTGGTGGTGGTGGTGGTCATAATGACGATTATGATGTTTGCAACACTGCACGCGTATCACTTTGCAAGACGAAGTAACCACGGCCGCGGTTGCGCCGCTATTTCCCAGACGCGGTAGCTGATGGATCCGACGCGAACGCCCGGCGCGCTCTCCCCCGAGCGGCGCTCACCTTGGGCGGAGCGCAGGAGAAGCGGAGCGCGACGCTGCGACGGCTGCGAGGAAGAGGCACTGCGCAGCGGAGTGGCTCGCAGCTTAACCACCACAACCACCCTCACCGCCCCCACCTCCCTCCCTCTCTCATCTCTCTCCCCTCCCCTCCACTTCTCTCTCTCTCTCTCCTCTCACTCTCTCGCTCTCTCCTTGCGCGCACACACACAGACAACACACAGGCACATGCACATACACTCCCTCCCTACCGCTCCACTTACTCCGTCCTATATCCCACGGAGAAATCGTTCTGCTCTTTTATATCCACTCCCAGTCAGCCTGCTCCCTCCCTCCCTCCATCCCACATCCTCCCTCCCTCTCTACATCCCACATCCTCCCCCATATCTCTCCCTCCCTCCCTCCCTTACTCCCTCCCTCTGTTCTATCCCCTTCCCTATCCCTCTCCCGCCCTCTCCCTCCCGCTCTCCTCGCACAACCCACGCATCACTCGCGTTATCCTACACTCTGCCGTGTCCTGCGATGCACCTCCAGGTGGATATTGTCTCATCAGCTCTGCCTAACAGCCCTGGCTACATGTTTCTGGGATCTGGTTTTCTGGCAACAAATGAATTGGCTTCCGCTACCTATCTCGACACCCAAATGTAAATTCTTATTTCACTCTATCGGTCTATTGATTGGTTGCCCTTTTGTCAATTCACTCCTGGATGAAGGTCTCCTCCACGCCATGTGGGTAACGTCTTTTTGTTCTGGTTCACCATACTTCGTCACCACGCTGGGCTGCGCGGGTTGGGGAAGGTATCGCACACGACCTGGGCAGAAATGACCGCTGATGTTGAGAATCGAACTCAGATGGTCCAGTCCAGGTCTTGGCAACCTGCGGCACATTAAGGACTGCTTCGTGTCGGTGTTTATTGAGGATTACCGTGCAATGCGGCTCTGGAAATGTATATATATTTAACAAATTCGAAAAAAAAATCTCTGTTCTTGTTATGTTGGTTGCCAACCCCCTGGTGGGTTATATCAGCGCGCCAGTGCGCTAATAACTGCGCCACATCTCAGCAGATGGACTGAGGTTAACCATCAGTTGCGTGTTTTTTTTAAGTCAGTTTTAACCTCCTGTGTCTTATCAGCAGTTAAGGCGTCTTCCATGGTGCTCGTTACCAGTTATTGTTGGTGAGAGCACTTCCTCTAAATGACGGGGCCCAGATGACAAGAAAAATAGAACGCAATGAAAAATTTCCAATCCGGATCAGCGTTTGATTGCTACCGCTGCTGCTGAGTAGATTTACAATAATTGAGGTATATTTATTAATGCATTTAATTACCCAGAATGCTCCACCGCATGCACATAATGAGTCCTTATCCAATTTGTTTTCTGCAGTAAATCTAACTCGTACGCTCTCTCTCTCAGGCTCACACACTCCCTCCGTCAGTTGATTTTTGCAAGCAATTTCCGGCATTTGCATTTCACTGAGCCGTGACCAGTTTACGTTAACGCTCATTCGTGCGAACACCAAGTCGTGGTATATATGTTGCATTTCTTTCATAGGCAACCGTTGCTAATGGGAGGCGCGGGGAAAGGACATCAAACTAAACACAATAATAAGTCCTAAAGGAATGCGTTTTAAGTCTAGATTTAAAAGTGCACAGCTGCCAGTGGCTTCCTAAGAATGGAAGGAAGAACGTTCCAGACGGCCGCAGCAGTGCATCTGAAAGCGCGCGATGTGGCGGCCGTCTTTGTTCGATGGCTCTCCCAGAGCCGTGCACTGTGCTGCGAACCGGGCGTTTGGAAGTTCGATTCCTGGCCACGGCTAAAATCAATTGCTCGTGGTTTCTGACACGGTTCACCAAATCCTCGCTGACCAGCACGGTAAAAAATGGCCAAAAAAAATCGATATCTCCATGATCATTAAGGAGTGTCGAGACATTCATCCAGCAATGGATTGACAGGTTGAACATTATTATGAATAATTACGTGAATGAATTTTTCAAAAATGATGACTCGGGCAGAAAACTCGAAACCGCGTCCAGGATTTACTGCTTGAACAAAATGCGACTGGAAAACGTTCGCGCCAGATGGACCTCAATGTTGTTTAATGTTACATTTGGTGGTTAAACATAACTGCGTCTCTTTATTCACAATGTATTACCCATAATCTACCAAGACAGCTCACAGTAGTAATGATTTATACGCTGCACTTGTTACCCATGTATGTATGCACCCTTTGAGGATAGTGCTGTAGCAATTGCCAACGGCCATATCACACTCAATATGCCCGATATTGTGAGAGCTCCGAGGCTGTAAGGGTGGTTGAGCCTGGTTAGTACCTGGGGGGCGGGTGACCGTCGCCACTGTTTGCCAGGTGCTATAGGCGCGTGCCCTCGGGGTGTTGCCAACAGGTGGCACTGCTGAGAGGTACCCCCTCGTATCAACACGTGGTCGGTGTTTTAAAAATAAAAACATCGGCGGGAATGTACGTACTTATACAATATGTACGTACAGTAATTACTTTATTGTATTTAATTTATGGTTAGTGTATTTGCCTACACGTTCTCAATCGTTGTTGTTGTATTGTTTGCTGTTGAAACTTTGCTGACAGCCGTGAATAAAAGAGCTTCATAGCTCATCGGATTCTTCCTGCAGTATAAATAAAGACTCAGGTTCTGATCGTCACTCCGGTTTACCTCCAGGTGTAGCTGAGCACTCATCAATAAAATCGGCCAAATATCCCGATGTAGCCGCTCGGACCCTCTGGGCAAAATGCATTGAGACTTGGCGCGCGTCTCTCCACAATGAACCGTCCTTACCGTGCGCAGTTTTGTAAACCGATTTGCCATTGAATGCACTTGCAGGATACAACTATTGCAAACGCAGGGGCAATCCATTGTTGTACTGTACTTCTAAGCTCCCACGTCCGTTCGCTTCCCATCGCCATTCACCCGCACTAAGCAGTGTGGAGTGAGCTATGATGAAATACCCCCCCCCCCACCCCCACGATCTAGCACGGCGTGGGAGCCCCTCTTCCAGCAGTGGAGAAACAGAGCGCTGTACGTGTGCACAAGTGAAAGAGGACGATGATCGTGTGCGCATGATCTCCATGCGTACACGAGTGGGCACTTGGCGACCCAGCAGGGGTTAGAAAGGCGACTGTGGTGAGTCGTGGCATCACCAGCGCTGGTCGTGATGACCCCTTGACCTTGTCATACCTGGTGTAAAGCATGTATCCCGCGTGTGGGGTTGCATTTCTCCATCTGTCTTTATGTGCAATGCCCGGGTGTTTACGCACGCCGTCTGTGTTCATGTCGCCCTATCCATCGATCTACAGACCGTGCGTCGGTGCGTGAGCGAATACCTCGCGGCGCGCTCGATCTCGTCAGCTCTCGCAAAGCTAAGCAGGACTGAGCCTGGGTCGTGTTCGGATGGGTGACCGCCATGCACAATATGCTGGCGGTGGCTACATCCGTTGCTGTACTGTACTCCTATGCTCCCCACACGTCTAAACCTCCCCGACCGCCAACAGCCCGCGCCAACCCGCATGATGAACTACGATCAGACGAGCCCCATTACCGACACCGAGTCGGGAGGCGCCTGGCCCTCCATCCAGCAGTGGATCGACAAAAGGGCTGTGCACGTGCACATTCGTATACGTCCGTGTAGCTTGCACGGACTGTAGCGGCAAGTGCTGTTGGCGAGCCCCCATGAAAGCCGGCACGGCACACGAGAGGGCTGGTGGCCAGCCCCACGCTCGGCCGCCTTTGTCTCCCCTAGTCGCCATTTTTACCACACACCGTGCCAGGTATTCATTTGAGGCCGAGTCGACCTACGGGGAGGCACAGGACCAGTTCAGATAATCGTCGCTGGTGTTGGCCGTGAGCGGGAATCGAACCCGGGTCGCCGGGTTAACAGCCGAGTGCGCCACTATATGGCGGTGAGGTCACCACGGCGCTTGTACCAGGCTAGGTGCACCCGCGTAATCACCACCAGCAACCAACAACCCCGAACACATTTTTCGCTGTAAAAAAAAAAAGGTCATCGTGCGAAACGTCGCCTTTTATATATATACAGTGTATAGATTGGCGGTGGCGGCGGTGGCGGGGATGGTGGTGGTGGTGGGGGCTGTTCCTTTAGGAGCAGCGTTATTGACGAATGTTGCGCGCGTTCCTGCGTTCTCCCCTCTCTCTCTCTGTTCCCTTCAGACAACCACCAGGGCCAAGGAGGCTCCCGTCAGCGGCACTGCAGTCGATCAATCTCAATTAGCGCTGCGTTGCTGCCTTGCCTCTGCCCTGCTCGCCCTGCTCCTGCTACCTCCATCCATCCCCTCCCCTCCTCCTTCCTCCTCTCTCTCCCTCCCTCCCTGCTCTTTACAGCAACAGGGCAAGGCCAGCGTCGCCTGTGCACGGAAGCGCAGCGGGAAGGGACAGGCGACACACAATCGCGCGCTCGCGCGCACGCTAATAATGTGCACCCCGAACATGATGTGAAACTCAATTAATATGTGTGTGTTGAGAATTACGTGTGCGATGTGTTGTGTGTTGTGTGTTTGTGTGTGTGCAGTACATTGGTGGGTAGTGCGGTGGTTCAGCGCGCTGGACTACGAACCCGGCGACTCGAGTTCGATTCCCGCTCACGGCCACCAACACCAGTGTCAATTAGCTGAACCGGTTCTGGGCATCCCCTAGCTCGACTCAGCCTCAAATGAGTACTTGGTGCGGTGTGTGAATATCGCCACAGGAGAGACAAAGACGGCTGGGCGTGGTGCTGACCACATCATCCCCTCGTTCACCGCGCCGGCCTTCAAATGTGCTCGCTAAAAGCGCTTGCCCCGACAGTCTGTTACTGCTGCACGGGGAATCTTTGTCTTTGTAGCGTGTGTATTTGTCTATGCCCTCCGGCCATGCAACCCAGCACTCACGTAACGACGCACACACAGAAGTCGCTGATTCGATTTGATTCGATCTTCAGGCGCGAGTTTCCTTCACTTACCACCCCCACCACCACCCCCACCACGCACCCCACTCGCCTCTCTGCACCCCATCAGTGTAACTGGGTCCAGCCATATTCTTAGGTTTTTTCGGTAAAGTCACGTAGGTAAAACATCAAAATTAAGAAAAAATAAATTGAAA